GAATCCAGGTGCTTCTAAGACATGAGAGAACAATGAGAGGGACACGGACTCCAAACTCAACTTTGGGAACTGCAAGGATCTGCTGACCCAGAGAGAACACTGAACTACTCTTCCCCCAACCCCAGGCACACAGTGCCACTTCAGAAGCCAAATCAGGATATTTCCCCAACTGACTGGCAGTAGTGTACACCCACTGCTACCCCCAAACCCCCTGGACACTAGGAGCAGGGCTCTTCTCCTCTGTTATCTTCTATAGAGCAGCTTCTCCATACTTCCTGTAAGTTTGGGTGTACGTGTGGATAGGGGAATCTAAACAAAGTGAAGAGTACTGAGGATCTCTACTCTACAGAAAAAGTTGAAACAAACTGGACAGGTCCTGCCTGTTGTCAGCCCTAGAAGCAAGGTTCCATATGCCAACCTGGACAGCTCCCGCTGTGCTGCAACTAGGCCCAGCTCAAGCCCTCCCTTCAGGTGCACAGACATGTATAGGCCATTGGATCACACAACTTGCAATGCCAGCTGATGTACAGGCAGAAACTAAGGCAGACTTAAGCAGTTTATCCCCACCCCAAGTCTTGGAGACCCTCAGTGGCTCTATTCCTGGCCCCCAGCTCAAAAGACACACAGAACAGCAGGAGCCTGATACACCACCACTCACAGTCCCCTATGAGGGTCCATAGCCCAGTCCTGGGGTACTGCAGGCAAACATTTCCAGTTAAGTCCTTGACTCTGAAGACATGTGGCAACTCCAGTCCTGCTGTCTAGGTGCAAATAAATGCACAAGTTACCAGTCACTAATGTCTTTCACAGAAAGCAAACACTTCTCACAGTTCTCATATTGGTCCATAGCCCAACTCTTGGATTCAGCAGACAGAGTACTTCAGCCCTACCCACTACCTGCACAGATATGCATCAGGTCCAACCCAATGTCTCATTGGTACATAGTTTCCACGCAGCCTTGCAACCTTGCAAGAGAATATGCCCAGCCCCCTCCTATACTAATAAAAATCCCTGCCATGCCTGCCTGCATTGAATCACTCGCAGAGTGATGCCACAGCTGCAGAGAGAATCAAGGGCAGATGGCTTCATCTGTCTCCAGTTACTGCACACAACTGGCTAAATAAGCAAATATCCACTCCTGTGTCACAACTTTGCAATCAACACCTACATCCTTCCTGTGTGCAATCCATCCAAGACAGAGATCTTTACTTATTTTCACTCAACTATCTCCTCCAGAGTAGGACCCTGTTCCCTACATGGTCTAAGAACTCAGGCAACCACACTACAGAGAAGCAATTTCCATTAGTTAGAGGGAACTCATCCCTTCTACAGGTGGAACACCAGTGCACAACAGTAATCTCTCCTAGAACCCAGAAATGCTGGCTAGAGATTCCACTGCCCCCACTGGTGCTCTGAAAATACACAAATTCTTCAATAAAAAAAGGATTGAATTAAAAAATTAATAAAATAAAACACTAGTACTAATAACTGTATCTGAAAATTAGAAATGAGTAAATACTCCATCAGATGCCAAGAAATTAATTCAGGAACAACAACAAAAATAAAAAACAGGAAATATCTCTCTTACAAAGGAACATAGTAACTCCACACTAATAATGCACAAAATGCAGAAAACCACAATTCAGAAGTGAATTTTAGAATATTGATGATAACAAAACTCAATGAAATACTAAATGTGATGTAGCCATTATGCCATCTGCTGGTCCTGAGGTAATTCTTCAGAGAGCGTCAACAATAGGTTAGATCATGCAGTAGAAAGAATATCTAAACTTGATGATACAACCTTTGAAATGGTCTAAACCATCAAAAAGAAAGAAAAATTAGCCATTAAAAACAAACAGAATTATGGAACAAAATTCAAAGACCAAATAGCTGTATAATGGGTATCCCAGAAGGCAAAAAATGTGAAAAGGCATAGAAAAATCTAGTTTATAAATTATAACGAAAAACTTCCCAAATCCTCAGAGAGATACAGACATCCAAATACAAGAAACTCAAAGGTCACCAAATAGATTTAACTTAAGATTTTCTCCAAAGTACATTATACTCAAAATGTCAGATCAAAAATAAAAAGAAAATCCTAAAAATGGATAGAGGTTTAAGTATCAAGTTATCTAATAAATATCTTACCCACCAGATAAGCATTGGGCCTCTCAGCAAAAGCCTAAAAGGCCAGGCAAAATGAGACAACATATTCAATAGTATGATAGAAAAACAATTTCAATCAGGAATACTATACCCAGCAAAATTCCTTCAAATTAGAGGAAGAAATAAAATTATTCACTAACAAATAAAACTGAAGGAATTCGAGACCAGCAGATAGCGTAATGGCTATATCTCTGGACTCCCATGTAGTCGACCACGGTTTGCGTCCCGGACCTGGTGGCTTAAAACTCATGCCGGGAGTGTGTGTGTGCCCAAGATCCCGGGAGGAGAGTGGAGGAGAAGGGATTGCGGCGTGGCCATCCCCCCTGGGGGGTGATTTCTCGCTTTCTGTCTCTCTGTCTATCTCTCTCTGTCTGGCGAGCGCACACACCCTATAGTGACGGGGCCATGCAGACAACACAAGCTGGTGAGGATGCTGCCTGGACTGGGAAGAAACTGAGGCACGGCCCAGTTTAAGAGCCCTTCCTTGTGTCATGTACTGGCCGGTAGTCAATTCCTCTGCCGTGAGTTTTACTGTTATTATGGTACCGTAAAACGTCACCCCTAACCATTATAATAAAGCCAGTTAGTGATCTTGTGGGAATGTGGCTTCCTAAGATGGCACATGAGGGCCAGGAAGCATGAGACTCTCCCACATGTCTATTTTAAGCCAAAATTAACATTTGTTAGGTCAAATTAGTATAAACCAAATTAGTGTTAGAAGCATATGTAGACTAAGTTAGTTTAAGGCTAGTTTTATGTAAATAGCCCTTGTTAAAGCTACAGGCCAAAGTTAACTCATGCTAGGCAAAGTCAGCACATTCACCACATAACAGGGATCCAGAGATAAAACAGAAGAACTCACTAATTGACAGATTCAGCAAATAAAATACAGGAACCCGTGAGTTTATAAGAAAGAAAAACCCTGACTAGGACAACAGGATGAACAAACCTGAAGGCTCCAGAGAAAGATTAACCATCTTAGCTGGGAGCTCTTATCTAAAGCAACAGATAGCTTTCAACTACAAAGAGTTTCTCATCCATGTGCTGTTGACTATGAAAAACTGCTATTAAAACATCCTGTGTTGTCTCCTGAGCTACAAGATCATCTTCCTTTCCCATATAGATCATAGACTTACCCTCTATTGTTGTAATATATAGGTAGTCCATATATTAACTGTGTCTTTACTTAGCAAGACAAGATTTCTATCTAGGTCTCTGCAACCAGCAATGTCTGCCTTGGCGCGAGACTGAGGTTATCAAACATCCTGCAAGCCCCCTCTTCAAAAGACCCTTCCCAGTAATCAAGATCTAAGAAGAAGATACAACAGACAAATGGAATTCCTCATCCTGAAAACTGTGATTAATTTTTAACTAATCTGACAAGACAAACAGCATGTTTATAATTATTGCTTCCATGCTTTGTATACCCTGTTCCTTAGAGTGGGTTTTTTACTACCCCTCACCCTCCTTACTTCCTAAACCTCCCTCAATAAATACGCATGTTTTAATAGCCACAGCACGGCAGCCTGGAGCTGGCTCTGGCTGTGGCCGCCTGAGAACATGCTAAGGAGCAATGAGGTCTCAGTCTAATTTTTTGCTCCTGATCACCTGTGTCACCTTCCTGTGTATGAGCCACCCACCACTGCCGAGGCTGGACCCCGGCACTATAGCAAAAATCTCTCAAAAAAAAAAAAAAAACCTGAAGGAATTCACCAATACTAGACTGACTTTTCAGGAAATAATTAAGGGAGTACTCCATATGGATGTGTATGAAAAATAAATAGCACCATGGAAACACTTGAAGCTATAGAACTCACCAGTAAAACACACACACACACACACACACACACACACACACACACACAGAGTAATGACTCAATTTCCTTTCACTGTGGAAATCTAATAAATAGTACAGATAAACAATATCAGAAGAAATAAGAAAACAAACAACAATTAAGAATCAACCTACAAAATGGTGGCTGAAAACATGTACACATCAATAATATTATTGAATGTAAATGGATTAAACTCCATAATCCTAAGATATAAGCTGACTAATTAAAAAAAAAGAACCCTCAATATATTGCAGGCAGAAATATACCTCACAAGCAGAGGCACACACAACTAAGAATGAAATGTTGGAAAACGTAATTCAATGCAAATAAAAAATTTTTAAAAGCGTGTGTTGCCATGATAATACCATACAAAACAGACTTTAAAATCTTTAAAAAAAAAACAAAGGAGATGTATTGCATTAAAAATATCAACCTGGGGCCAGCAGGCGGCATGATGATTAAAGGTGCTAGCCTTCCACATGGTAGATGTAGTTCGAATCCCACACATGGCAGCTTGCTTTCTTACTTTCCCTATCTCTCTGTCTTTCTCTGGTCAAGTTTAAAAAAAAATAATAATAAATAAAATTAAATAATTATTTTAAAAAAACCATACTGTAGACCACAAAGATATATATCAGTTACATATAAACCAAAAATCATAATTAAAATAACTAAATAAATAGAACACAAATAAAATAAAAGAAAGACAAATTAGGGTAGTGGAAGAAAATATGAATAGCTTGTGTTAGCTTTCGAGATTGCAGAGACTTAGAAAATACCTAGCAAATAATAGGATAATTTATCCTGAGACAAGTGGAGAGGTTGGAGGGAGTTCTCTTGCTATGTAGGAATGCAGGTAGATTCAGCAGATTCGAGTCCCTAAGATGAAAGAATTTTATTCCTACAAGTCATTGAGATGTACCAATGTATCATTGGGTGTTAAGTGAGGTAGAAAGGAGAGAGTATGTCCCAGTTTTCATATTTTACAACACTCACCATTTCCTTGAATGAACCACTCAAAATATTGTTCTAGTGACTTCGGTTTCTTGGTCAAATTGGTTTCTTTCCAGAAATAATAACCAGATACAAGAATATCTCTGGGATTTCTCATGAGGTAAATCACCTTAAATGGAAAAATGGAAGAATGAAAAAACAGTATACTAATTTCCTATCCTTGATCTTCATTAAAAATGGAGAAAAAGTCAATTCATATAAAATGCCTATAAACTACCAATGGATTTTTAAATAAATAACTTACTGCATTCAAAAATTAAACATATATTTTTAATTACTATGAAATCATATTTGCAATAGAAACACAACAATCGGAGACCAGCAGATGGAGTAATGACTACGTAACTGGACTCCTATGTAGTGGACCACGATTTGAGTCTCAGACCCGGTGTCTTAAACTCATGCCAGGCAGGTGTGCATGTGTGCACATGTGCCCAAGATCCCGCGAGGAAAATGGGGGAAAGGGATTGTGGTGTGGCCATACCCCCTGGAGGGTGATTTCTCACTTTCTGTCTCTCTGCCTCTTTCTGTCTTTCTGGTGAGCTCACGTGCTCTATAGCAAAAATCTCTAAAAAAAGAAGAAAGAAAGGAAGAAAGACAACCATGGAAGAGGAAAGCCTCACCCCTTCATTCTGAGATATTATAGTCTTCTCATAATGAGAAGCAACAGGAAGGTTTAAAAAGGTGAACAGTATATTGTGTACTATAGTTTAAATAGCATCAACAGAAGGTGTATTAATAAATCACTTTCTACTAACAGATACACATAAATATATTGTACACAGGCAACCAAGACCATGAATGACTCTCATTATTTTGAGTGAAAGAAACCACATATCCAAGAATTCTTGTAGCATAAGTCCATTTATATGAAGTTCAAAACCAAGCCAAACTAATCTATAAGTCAAGGGCATGTTAACCTCTGTAAATGGGCATTGATTCCTAAGAGATATGAGAGATTTTTTCAGTAGAGTGGAAATGTTCTAAGCTTAGAGTACAATGATAGTTACAGAGCTGTAGCACACACATATATGCACAGACTATCATTGGACTAGAATATCTGAGTATTACTTTGCATTCAACACCAACTCACTTGTGATATTATTATAGACATTGTATCTCTCTAGACCTCAGTTTTCCCAATCAGTAATTTAGAAAACACCAAATAAGACACACAAAAATAGGTGTCCTAGAACAAATTCATTGTACAGATCATATTGTGAAATATCCAAGAGATGATATTAAGTTTCTCTACTTAGTGTAAGCATAAAACAATTTGTTTAATTCACACAACAATAAACGCCTTCCAGGAAAGTATGTTGCTGCAATGGTCTGGGATGTGCTAGTTCCTGGGTATCCACGGTCCTTTACACTGGTCAGCCATCAGCTATATGGGAGACTGTGTGGCTGTGGATCTTGTCAGACAGCTATGTATGTAAGACAGTATGTATGTAAGACAGTGGCAAGACTGAAAAGAGAAGAGTTTGCTTTTTTGTATTGAGAGGGCATGTGCATTCTCCAAAGAGAGAAGGAGAGGGAAAAAGCCCCCCTCCCAGTGGGATGTAGTCGTACTGCAATCCCTTCTCCATTTCTCCCTTCCTTTGAAACTTTTAATCCAACACCTTATTCAACCTACTGGGGCCAGGATTTGAACTGCAGTTGACCATGTGGGATCAGGCTCCCTTAATCACTAGGCCATGGGGCCAACCCAAAACAGAATTCTTGGATGTGCTCAAAAGAGAATTGTTGGAATACGTCTAACACGAAGTAAAGATAAGCGATTGAGATGATGGATATGCTCATTATGTAAATTATATCATTACACATGGTATTCATGTGCTGAAAGTCACACTTTAAGGAAAAAAGTCACAGAAGTAAATATAACCAGCCATGACTCCCGAGCAACCATACTGAATTTAAGCATTGATTTATAAATGTGCTGCATCCTATATGGAGAACTCTGTATGCAGTGTTTCAAACCTAAGTTGCAGAGATATTGTATTAATATTGGCTAATTCTTTGGATCATAAAAAGGGGATTTTCTTCTTTCTAGAATAAAAGATGATACTGTTACCTATTTTACAAGGTAGCAGGTGAAAAGCTGAGGAGCTGGATACTAAGGAGAAGAAATTTGAAACCAAGAAGGCTGATGCCAATGGCAAGGTTAAAACTGTATACCCCTAGCTAGGTGCTACTTTATAGTATGTTCATTCTATTCACTGAAGTTTATGCCTAAAGTCAGACTTGTGTTCATGGATATGTATATATCATCTGCACCTGCTATATATATATATTTTTTGAGAAGTTTTTGCCATAGGGCGCGTGCGCTTGCCAGACAGACAGAGAGAGACAGAGAGACAGAAAGCGAGAAATCACTCCCCAGGGGGGATGGCTATGCCACAATCCCTTCTCTTCTATTCTCCTCTCGGGATCTTAGGCACGCACACACCCGCCTGGCGTGAGTTTTAAGCCACCGGGTCCGGGACGCGAACCACAGTCGACTACATGTGAGTCCAGTGACATAGCCATTATGCTAACTGCTGGTCCCTGTACTTGCTATTGAAAATATTTAATTGATTAAGATATTTAGTGGATCAATAAAATGTGGAGAGGAAAAGGCATAGAAAGCAACCATGGATACCAGAGATAGTGTGGGAGGAGGGTGGGAGATGGCAGAGGGTGAGAGATAGGGAATCAAGGATGGGGAAAAAAGCAAAATATATAGGAAACAAGAAATGGAAAATTATTTGTTGACGATAACATGTATGTTGAAGAAAACATATATGTTGATGTGCTTGATTGAGCCAATATACAGTGTATTCTGGATGGAAAATCTCACTTTGTATGCTGTAATGATGTATAGTGAATGAATGTAAATAAACAAATTTAAATTAAAAAGAAAAAAAGGGTGACCCCCAAGGGAAGCCCCATTGCAGCCCAAGCCCAGTCCTAGTTTGAGGAATTGGCAGATATTCCCAATCTGCCATGTATTCCAGGAAGGCCATGTACAAGGGGACTAAATCATGTACTCAGCCACTAAATCCAGGAGTAGAGAGAAAAAGAAGAAAAAGGTTCTTGCCACTGTCACAAAACCAGTTGGTGGTAACAAGATTGGTGGTATCCAGGTACTTAAACTTCAAAAAAAATTCTTCGGTATCATCCTACTGAGAATGTACCTCAAAAGCTGTTGAGCCACAGCAAAAAACTCTTTGGTCGGAATGTGAGAAAGCTACAAGTTAGCATCACCCCCGGGACCATCCTAACTGGGCACTGTGGAGGTAAGAGAGTGGTTTTCCTGAAGCAGCTGAGCAGTGGCTTTCTACTTGTGACCTGATATCTGGACCTCAATCAAGTTTCACTGCGTAGAATACACCAGAAATTTGTCATCATCACCTACATGAAAATTGACATTAGTAATGTGAAAATTCCAAAATACCTCACTGATGCTTACTTCAAGAAAAAGAAGCTGGGGAAGCCCACATACCAGGAAGGTGAGATCTTCAACACAGTGAAGGAGAAACAGGAAACTACAGAGCAACACAAGATTGATCAGAAAACTGTGGACTCACACACTTTACCAAAAGTCAAAGCTATTCCTCAGCTCCAGGACTACCTGCTATCTGTGTTTGCCCTTACAAATGGAGTTTATCCTCACAAATTGGTGTTCTTAATTTCTTGTCAAGAACCTAATTAAATAACTGGTAAATAACTGGCATTCTCATTTGCCCACATTTAAATCTGACTAGAACAATCTATGGAATGATCTAACTCTTGTACTCAAGTGTGGTCCATAGATAGCTACATCGGTATCACCAACTGCAGAATCACACATCAAAACCCAGATCTACTGAAGTAGATTTCAACAAGACCTCCAGGTTGAACCTCCAGTTCTAGTCAATGGAATCAGACAAGAGAGTCAAATAAAAGACATTCAAATATGAAAATAAGAAGTGAAATTGATTTCAGGCATATCAGATTTTGAAAGGCATTGGGGCCAGCAGGTGCTGTAGTGGTTGGGGTGCTGATGCACCTGAATGGCACATGGCTGACTGCAGTTCAAGTCCCAAATATGATTTGAAAATCAGTAGTATTTGGGACCAGCAGTTAGTGTAACGGCTATATCGCTGGACTCCCATGTAGTTGACCGCGGTTTGCGTTCTGGACCCGGTGGCTTAAAACTCACGCTGGGCGCATGTGCGTGCGTGCCCAAGATCCCGAGAGAAGAATGGAGGAGAAGGGATTGTGGCGTGACCATCCCCCTGGGGGGTGATTTCTTGCTTTCTGTCTCTCTGTCTCTCTCTGTCTGGTGAGCGCACACGCCCTATAGCAAAAACCTCTAAAAAAAAATTAAAAATCACCCCAGGCACATGCACGTACATGCCCAAAATCCTAGGAGGAGAATGGGGGGGGGATTGTGATATGACCACCCCTTCTTGGAGGGTGATGTCTCACTTTCCTTCTCTCTGTCTCTCTCTGGAGAGAACATAAGCCATATGAAAACTAAAAAAAAAAAAAAAAATTTAAAAAGGCATTGACCACCCAAAAAAGAAGAGCTCAGGTCTCTATGACTTTACTTCTGAATTCTACAAAACTTTTAAAGAAGAACTAACCCAATTCTCCTTCTAAAGATACAAAAGGAAGGAATTCTCCCAATTCATTCTACAATGCCTCCATCATCCTAATTCCAAAACCAGACAAGGTCATAGAAAAAAAAACCTTGAGGCCAATATCCCTGAAGAAAACAGCTGGACTCCCACATAGCCGACCACAGTTCGGGTCATGGAGCTGGTGGTTTACTTTCTTGCTTTCTTTCTGTCTCTTACACTGTTGCTCTCTTGTCAAATTAAGATAAATAAATACAGTTAAATAAAATAATTCTTTAAATAAAAAAAGCTTATATGCCACGACCAAGTACGATTTACTCCAGGGATCCAAGGATGGTTCAACATACGCAAAACAAAAAATGCAATACAACACATTAACAAAAGGAAACATTAAAAAAAAAGATTATATCAATTGATGCAGAAAAAGCATTCAATAAAATACAGTATCCCTTCATGATTAAGACACTCAGTAAAATTGGCATAGAAGAGACATTCCTCAACACAATGAAAGCCATCAATGACAAACCCATACCTAATATCATGCTGAATGGGGAAAAGCTGAAAGCTTTTATAAATATAAACTGGAACAAAATAAGGCTGCCCACTTCTTTCACATAGTGCTGGAAATTCTAGCTAATGCAATCAGGCAAAACAAAAACAAAAACAAAAACAAAAACAAAAAAAGGCATCCAAATAGGAAAAGAAATGAAATTATCTTTATTTGCAGATTATATGATACTATACATAGAAAATCCAAAAGAATGCACAAAATACTCTTGGAAGTGATAAATGAATATACTAAAGTGGCAGGATACAAAGTCAATATAAAAAATTTATACCATTTTGAGAAGCCATCTACATTTGAGCTGAGAACAGCCTCTTTCAAGAATGAAGGAAACTGAAGATTTTTTACTCAGACTTCACCCTCCAGACCTGAAGATCTAGACAGGACAGGTCAATCACAGGCCTTTTCAGAAGCCATCTACATTTGAGCTGAGAGCAGTCCCTTGCAGGGACTAGGGAAACTGAAGATTTTCTGCTCAGACTTCACTCTCCAGATCACAAGATCTAGACAGGGTCAGAATAATCCTCAATTCCCACAGAATCTACTGCACAAAGAGAGAAAAACAGAACTGCAGGGAGACTGCAGATCACCTCCTCCAGCACACCTCTGAAAGCTCAGATTTAGCTCCAAGAAATTAGGGGAAAAATGTATAATCTATCAGATGACCAGGAATCACCATAGAGGCACAAGAAATATGAGAAAGCAAGAAAACATCTCTTCCCCCCCAAAAATAATGAAGTCCTCATCATCCACAGATAGTACAATGGAACTCATAGAAAATGTCAGATAAAGAATTTAGAATGCTCATAGTAACAAAGCAGACAGAGATGCAAGAGAAGAGATACAATGAACTCCAGAAGATGCATGAAAAAGAGACAATGAGTTCCAGGAAGTGAGGAAGTTTTTGCAGATCTGAAAGAAGAAATACACACCATAAAAAACAGTCAAATGGAACTGTTGGAGCTGAAGGCTGTAATAAAGGAAATAAAAAACTCCACTGAAAGTATTAAAAGCAGATTAGATCATGCAGAAGATTGAATCTCAGATGTAGAAGACAGAACCTCTGACCTAGAAAAATTCACCAAAAGGACTGGGAAAATACCCTTCCCCCAAATGAAAATAAGATATGAGAAATATTAGATACCATTAAACCTCCAAATATCCAGATAATCGGTATCTCAGAAGGTGAAGAAACTAAGGGAATTGAAAAATACTGGTGGAATATCTTGGAGTAGGCTAAGACTTCTTAAACAAGACTTGCAAAACACAGGTAATAGTCCAAAAAGTAAACAAATGGGATTATATTAGGCTGAAAATCTTCTGCATAGTAAAAGAAACAGTAACTAGAGTGTAAAGACAACCCTCAGAGTGGGAGAATATATTTGCAAACTATACCTCAGATAAGGGACTGATAACCAGAATATACAGGTAACTCAGCCAGCTTATACACACACACACACACAAACACACACACTCAATCCAATTAAAAGATGATAAAATGAGCTGAACAGGAAACTCTCCAAAGACATATGAACAGCCAAAAACATATGAATCTGCTTGATGTATCTTATCATAAGGGAAATGCAAATCAAAACCACAATGAGATATCACTTAACCCCAGTCAGAATGGCTAAAAATTTTTAAAAATAATAAGTGCTGACAAGGCTGTGGTGAAAAGAGAACTCTCCTACACTGCTTGTGGGGATGTAAATTAGTACAACCACTGTGAAGAATGACATGGAGATTCATCAGAAATCTACAAATAGAACTACCATACTACCCAGTAATTCCACTCTTAAGTATTTACCCAAAGAATAGAAAAACCCTCAGTCAGAAAAACACTTGCACATCCTTGATTATTGCAGCTATTTACAATTGCTAGGACGTGGAATCAACCCAAATGTCCAAAATAGATGAATGGAATGAAAAAAAAGTGGCACATGTACTCTATGGATTTTTACTCAGTCATTAAAAAAAAAAAAAGACCCTGACATTTGATGCAAAGTGGACAAATATACAAGACTTAATGCTAAGCAAAGTAAGCCAGACTATGAAAGAGAGACTTTGCCCCACGCAATATATACCAAATGTCTGCACTCAGTAGCAAAAACTGAAAGACTGGCAGGAATAGTATCAGGGAGGACAATGGTAAGCACTAAAGATAGTAAGAATAGAGGAGATACGGGGGTAGGAAATAGGGCAAGGGAGGGAGGGGAATGAAGAAAAAGCCAATATGTTTAATTGACACAAAAATGAAAAACTATCTGCTGATGATAATGTATATGGTAATATCTTTGTCCTGACTGATATACACTGTATTCATGCTGGGAAAAGCAAAGTTGTACACTGTAAAGATGTATAGTGATTAAATGTAAATTTAATGCGAAGAAGAAGAAGAAGAAAGAAGAAGAAGAAGAAAGAAGAAGAAGAAGAGGAGGAGGAGGAGGAGGAGGAGGAAAAGGCATTGACCAAACATGTCGTGACCATATTGCACTAACCTTGGTCTTGGCACTGAAGATAGACTTGGACATGAGATGGATGGGAAGGTGAGAGGTCATAAGGCGTGGGCCTTCTTTATTACATAATGATTTATATCCTTCCTCAGTGTCTATCCAAGGTGAACGGTTCCAAATGGGCACGGATTGGATCTCCTTAGGATCTCCCTTGGAGTGAATCAAGCTGAGAATCTCTATCAACCAGTTTGTTCCTGGATTAAGAAGGAAAAATGAGAATACCTCTTTTCAATCTGCCTTTTAAACAAGAATGATTGTAAAATACACATAATATGAAGCATGTCTCTCCACCATTTGTAAGCACACAGTCCATTGGGGTTAAGTATCTTTCTAATGTTCCTTAAGGAATCTCCGAAACTTTTTCATGTTACAGCTGAGTCTGTACTCATTAAACATGATTCCCCATTTCCTCCCTTCCCAGCTTCTGGCAACCACCACTTTATTTTTCATTTCTATGAATTTGAACACTAGATACCTCATATGAAGGTAGCCAAAGCTATTTGTCTTATTTCTCTTTCTTTTTCTTTTTTCCCCTTCTTTCTTTTTCTCTTTCTCTCTCTCTCTTTCTTTCTTTCTTCTTTCCTTTTTAAAATGTTATATTTATTTATTTATTTATTTTGGCCATAGGGCATGTGTGCTCATCACAGAAAGACAAAGAAAAAGAAGGAAACTGAGAAATTACTCTACGGAAAGAATGACCATGCCACAATCCCCTCTCTTCCTATCTCCTCTTGGGATTTGAGGCATACACACACGTAAACACCTGGTTTGATTTTTTTAAGCCATCAGGACTAAGAGTGATGCAGTGGGCCATCTGAGAGCCCGGCACTTTAACCACCTCGCCACTGCTGGCCCCTAGTATTTTCTTTTTGTGATTGGTTTTTCATTTAGCATTATTTGCCCGTGGCTCATGAATGCTGTAGCATGCATCAAAATTTTCTCTTTTTAAAAAGGTAGTAGTGGGCTGGCCAGTGGTTAAGGTGGCTGGATCTAACATAACTGACTGAAAAATTCGAGTCCTGGACCCTGAGGCTTGAAAAACATATAGGGTACATAGGTGTGCATGTCAAAAAATCTCAAAAAGAGATATAAAGGGAAATGGATTGCAGTGTAGCTATAGCTCTGGGGAGGGTGGCGATTTCTCAGTTTCTCCCTTCCCCCTTCCAAGTGAGTACATGCATCCTATAGCAAAAACAAAACAAATCTAAAACTTAAAAAAGTAAACAAATTCATTAATGAAAACTTTATAGTATTCTACTTTTTTTTTTTCATATAGGGTGTATACACTTGCCAGAGAGATAGAGAGACCTAAAGTGATAAATCAAACCCCAAGGGGGACTGCCACACCACAATCCCTTCTCCTTCATTCACCTCTCAAGATTTGGGGCACACATGCATGCACACATACCCAGCATGAATTTTAAGCCTCTGAGTCCTGGACTCAAACCATAGTCAACCATGTGGGAGTCCAGCAATGTAACTATTATGCCATCTGCTGGTCCTGGGTATTCTACAGTATTTGTATATCACATTATCTTTATCCATTTTATCTCTCCATGGATTTGTGGTTACTTCCAACTTGGGGCTATTTACTCAAATCCTTCAAATATGTTTCCATTATCTTGGTTTGTCATGGCCATGACACCTCTAATGTCTTCTGTCTCAATCCTTGCCAATTTGCAGTGCTCCTGTCCCTCAGTGCCAGGTATTTTTATTCTCTTGAATTTGCCAGGCTCTTTTCTGACTCCAATTTATTATCCATAAAGGTTCTTCCACCTAAAAATATCCTTCTTCAACTAATAATGTCACTTTCATTATTTTTATTTCAATCTGAATATTTCTTCCAATAGGACTTCATTAGTCATCCTCTTCCACCTCTCTTCCCCACTTCCCATTACGAATTCATTAATCTGCTTTAAGATTCACTCCTAAGGATTTCCCTAATACCTTAGATTATCCTCCTTTTGAATCCTCACCTTACTATCTAATTGCCTAAACTTAGCCTAATTGGCTAAATTCTCTCTGAATTAAAATGGTGTCAGGCATCATTCACCCAAACACTGGACACTGTCTAGCATATAAAAAGCACCCTATTATTCTACTCAGTGAATGAGCAACACAGCCACAGCCTTCATCAGTTCATGACCCTGTTTCCTTACCTGATTTGGGATACGACACTAATAATACATCATCATTCTTAAAGACAAACTTATCACGAACTTCTCGGAAGATTTCATGACTGCAACCTGCTGAAGGGAAAGGTATTCCTTCAAACCACATGTAGTCATCCGACATGGTGATGGAATCTCTTTGCTTGATGGTAGGGTTTCAGCTGTAGTTGCAGGCGGAGGCTGTGGCAGCTGCCAGGAGATCAGATTTTATAGTATACACAAAACAATCATTAACCTACCTCGATTTGTTATACACTATATTGGCTGGTAAAAGGAAATCAATATTGTGACTGACAGTCAAAAGGGTGATGAAATTGAGCAACCATGAAGTCATTAAAGAATGTTCTGCAGGGGGAGGGGGGTCATCTGATTTTGTGTCCATGAGAAAGAACCAGAAATTTAATATCAAACATAAGGATATATAGCAAAGGGAATACAGAGATATCCTATGGCCTTTTTTACCCCGACTCTTTATTTAGATTTACTTAGTTTCTACCTAATGTGTTTTTTTGTGCTCCAGGGTCCAATCCAAGATACATTATAGGACTCCACCATTGCTACTGAGAACTAGTGATTTCAGGGAAAAAAAGAGAGATGAAGATTTTCTACCGATGGGAACCAGCAGTTAGCATAATGGCTATGTCGCTGGACTCCCACGTAGTTGACCGTGGTTCGCGTCCCGGACCTGGTGGCTTAAAACTCATGCCGGGCATGTGTGCGTGCGTGCCCAAGATCCTGAGAGGAGAATGGAGGAGAAGGGATTGTGGTGTGACCATCACCCCTGGGGGGTGATGTCTCGCTTTCTGTCTCTATGTCTCTCTCTGTCTTTCTGGCGAGCACACGAATCCTACAGCAAAAACCTCTCCAAAAAAAAAAAAAAAGATAAATAAATTTTTTCCTTCTTTTTCTTTTTCTTTTTCTTACTTTTATTTTTCTCTCTCTGTTTCCTTTTCTTTTTCTCTTATGTCATCACTCTACTCCTCAATCTCCATTCACTGTGTTTCTAGATGGATCTAAGGGACTATCCAAATGCTATAAGGTTAAAATATTCCTCAATATCCACAAAGGGATACAAACAGAATAGCAAAGAAATTCCAGATCACCTCCTTCCTGCACACTCCTGAAATCTCCTTTCCCTCTCCCCTCCAGGAGAGGCAAGGGCCAGGTCTTCAGAGGAAGAGTCCATCGTTGCTGCTGAGAACTAGTAATTTTGCACAACACATGATTTTTTATTTTTTGCCTTTTTGAAAAAAAGTTTGGAGGGGGGAACCAGCAGTTAGCATAATGTCTGTCACCTGTATTAGCAAGAGAAAAACATCAAGTTACCTACAAAGGACATCCCATCAAGCTAACAGCAGATCTCTCATAGGAAACAATACGAGCGAGGAGAGAATGGGAAAATATATTCCAAGTGTTAAGAGAGAAGCAATTTCAGCCAAGAATACTGTACCCAGCAAGATTATCTTTCAGGTGGGAAGAAAAGACAAGAACATTCTCAGATAAACAAAACCTGAAAGAATTTACCAGCACCAGACCAAATCACCAAGAAGTTCTCAAGGGTGTGCTATGTCAGGAAAATTAAATGCAGACACAGAAATGAGAGTTCAAAAACTAAGAAAATGGCCAATTTAATCATAGGGACAAGTCTGGAGTTGAATATTACATGCCAGAATTCAACTGGGAAGATCGAACCACAACAGAAGATAAAGTACATGAGACTAAACTGGTGAAATAGCATTCTGTGACTTTCGATTAAAATATTGCTGCTTTTCTTCTAGGCTTTGTTGTCCAGTTTTAAGAGTTTTTGTCCTGTCTTGAGCTGCGGAGAGGTTCATGTACTTACTATTTGAACAGAATAATAATCCATTTCCAGGCTCTAAGTTTTAAGCAAAGTTCCATAGCATTTCTTTGATTTATTAAAGTTGAAGCTGCTTCTCTTGAAATTATCAGCTGAACTCGCTATTGAAAGTAGTTAGATTATATAATAAATTGTATGATCAATAAAATGTGGGGGGAAAAGAAATGGAAAAAAACTGTATATATATATATATGTGTGTGTGTGTGTGTGTGTGTGTATATATATATAGACATATATATGTATATGAAACTAGAAGGGGAAAATTATTGATGATAACATGCATGATTAAGTCACTATGAGTCACTATGCAGTATAGTGGATGGGAAATCACATTTTGTATGCTATGACGATGCTTAGGGAATGAATGTAAATTAATTTTTAAAAATGTTTCAAAAAATAAAGCTCATGGAAATATGTATAATGGGAAAACTATGTATGAATTTTAAAAAGTTTTTGTACCAAAACAAATTCATATTTTAATCATAAAATAAAATAAAAATGTAGTATAAAAAATAGATACCACATTATATATGGTTGTCATGTCACCCTGGGCTTCTCTTGGATATTATGTCAGACTTTTCTTGTTTTTGATGATCGGAACAGTTTTAAGAAATACTAGTCAGGTGTTTTGTTTTATTTTAGTTTTTGTTTTTGCTATAGGACAAGTGCACTCATCAGAGAGACAGGGAGAGAGAGAGCGAGAGAAAGTGAGAAATCATACCATCCTCCTGTGGGGAAGGCCATGCCACAATCCCTTCTACTTCTACTCCAGTCTCCTCAGAATTTTTAACACTCAGACCCAGTAGGTGACATGGTGGCTTGGGTGCTGGACTCCCACATGGTTGACCATGTTTCAAGTTCCAGACCTGGTGGCTTGCTTTCTCACCTTCCCTTTCTCTCTCTCTCTCTCTGTGCTTTTTTCTCCAGTCAAATTTTAAACATAATAATAAATAGAAAGAAAGGAAGAAAAGAAAGAAAGAAAGGAAGAATTTTGGGTGAGTCCATGCTTGGGGTCTAGGGACCACTTTGGAACTTTTGGAAGCTGCCCACCATCCAACCAGACTGGACTCACCCTGCCTGCCCACCAAGAGTTTTGAGCCTTATCTGGGCAGGTCTCTAGGGTAAGCTGGAATTTTAAACATAATAATAAATAGAAAGAAAGGAAGAAAAGAAAGAAAGAAAGGAAGAATTTTGGGTGAGTCCATGCTTGGGGTCTAGGGACCACTTTGGAACTTTTGGAAGCTGCCCACCATCCAACCAGACTGGACTCACCCTGCCTGCCCACCAAGAGTTTTGAGCCTTATCTGGGCAGGTCTCTAGGGTAAGCTGGTGCTTGTGGCCTGGGAGACACTTGGCACTTTTGGTACACCAACCAACAGGCTGTGCTTTGTGCAGTGCTCGACTGGATCATCTTTACCACTATGTCTCCTTAGCTTGCTACCACTTCATCAAGAACTGAACGTTTGGTAGAGAAGCCAAGCAACTGAAGTTACCCATAACTACTCTGACCTGAGAGACACAGCCCTTCCATAGGAACACACCTGGGAACCAAGGGTGAAATTTCCTCAACCAGAATTACAGAATCAACTCCAATAAATAGAAAAAAGTGACTACAGCATCAGATGACTAGAAATCAGCACAGATATTGAAGAAACATGAGAAAACAAGGTGGTAGCTCTTTGCCAAGTGAGGGTAGTAGCCCCTCACAGTGGACAGCACCAAGAAATACACAGAAAGGGAAGAAACAGAATTCTGAATATTCATAGTGACAAAACTCAATGAGATGCAAGAGAAAACAATCAGTTCCAGACAATGAGAATATCATTTCAGGACATGAAAGAGGAATTTCATAAAGAAATAGACAACCTAAAAAAAATCAAATAGAACTTCGAGAAATGAAGAATACAATACAAGAAATTAAAATGTCCCTAGAAACCATTAACAGCAGATTGGACCATGCAGCCAAAAGAATTTCTGACCTCAAAGACAAAGTCTTCAGCATAGGCCAAATTACCAAAAAGGAGGGAAAAAAAAAAAAAAGGGCAACATGTGAGAAATTCTAGATACCATGAAATGCTCAAATATCCATATAATGGGTATTCTAGAAGGTAAAGAATCTGCTAAAGGCATGGAAAATCTCTTTCATGAAATATTATCTGAAAATTTTCCAAATTTATATAGAGACATGGAGAAATTCAGACCCAAGCAATAAAAATGATCCCAAATAGAATCAACATAAAAAGATCCTCCCCCCAGCACATCATAGTCAGATTGGTTAAAATTAAAGACAAAGACAATATTCTTTTTTTTTTTTTGAGAGATTTTCTCTATAGGGCACGTGCGCTTGCCAGACAGACAGAGAGAGACATAGAGACAGAAAGCGAGAAATTAGCCTCCCAGGGGGATGGTCACGCCGCAATCCCTTCTCCTCCATTCTCCTCCCGGGATCTTGGGCACACACCCGGCGTGAGTTTTAAGCCACCAGGTCCAGGACGCGAACCGCCGTCGACTATGTGGGAGTCCAGCGACATAGCCATTATGCTAACTGCTGGTTCCCAAGACAAAGACAATATTCTAAAAATTGCAAGGGAGGAATGTCAAGTTTCTTACAAAGGCTATCCCATTAGGTTAGCATCAGACTTCTCAACTGAAACAATATAGGCAAGGAAGAAATGGGAAGACGTGTTCAAAACATTAAAAGAAAAACAACTTCTACCAAGAATACTATATCCAGTGAGACTGTCCTTCAAATGGGAAGAATATATAAAAGTATTCTCAGATAAACAAAAACTGAACGAATCTCCCAATCATAGACCAGCTCTACAGGAAGTACTGAGGAGACTGTTGTATCTGGATACCTAATAGAGACAAACAGAAATAGAAGAACAAAAAACAACTGATAAAATGGCTAGCAAAATGACAGGGATAAATTCACAAACATCAATAGCAACATACAGTGTTAATGGATTAAATTCTCCCATTAAAAGACACAGACTGGCTGAATGAATACAAATGCAAAGGCCATCTACATGCTGCTTACAAGAAACACACCTCACTAATAATGACATGCATAGACTGAAAGTGAAGGTCTTGAAAAAGATATCCCATGCAAATGGAAATTAAAAGGCTGGAATAGTGATACTGGTATCAGACAAGATTAAAAATGTAAGAGACAAAGAAGGACATTATATAGTTCTAAAAGGATTTGTTCACCAAGAAGATATACCACTTGTAAATATCTATGCACCAAATATCTATGCACCCAACACTGGAGCACCTAAATACATCAAAGAGAGACTGTTAGATCTC